CCACAGCAAACCCTCTGTACATCCCTTGTAAACTGATCCCCACTCACTCTGCGCAGACTCATCTGCTTCTTGTAGAAATTGTCCCACTCCCGTTTGCGACGYTCCTCATTGTCTTCTTCCCAATTCCCACTGCCTTCTTCATCGTACCTGGATAGGGCATGAAAACGAAGAACAAGCACTTCTGTAGCTGCAGCATAACTGGGGGTGGATTTGGGAAGGCACCCCAGTGATGTATCCCACATCCTTCCTAGACAAATCTTTGCCTTTTTTGCTATCCCCCAACCTGGACAACAGCGAGTGTTCTCCAAAAATTCACAGCATTTGTTAACCCCATGAACCAGTGGCATGAACTAACAGCATATAACTGAAGCCCTAGAATAGACTCCAGGCTCCATTTTAGAAGCTCTGCCAGATCCTCCCGGGGGTTCAGGAGTCAGTGCCTCATGCCCTGTACCCCCTCTGTCAGTCCCCCCTTCCCTGGGGCAGAGATGGCAGAGGGGGCACAGCATCCATTCCTCAGCCTCACTTGCTCACAGGCTGCTGTAATAAATGACATTTCCATCTCTAACACAATGAAATGCAGCAGCTGATCCTCACCAGACATAGCCCAGGAGTTCACTGCCTCCCACAGCTGCCACAGACAAAACTTACAGGTATCACAGATCTGAGCTTTGGACCTGCTGACTATWATAACTTCCAAGGCAAAACTACAATCAGATCATGGAAAGGTTCAATAAAGTGGCAAACACTTCTGTACAACAGCATTGGCTGTGGCTTCTCAGGTCCTGAGACCAAACACAGGCTTAGATCACAAGYCCCAGTTTCCTCTGACTCAGCTGGACTTGGCCAAAGAACAAAGGTACCAATCTCRAGCTTTTTAAGGTAAAGCACAGGGCCAGGCCAGCCTACAGCACTGTGTATCCTGGCACAGCTTCACGGGCAGTGCCAGCAGAGAAACTTCATCCTGACACAGCTGCACAGTCACTGCAACTCTGCCAGGGAACAAGGGGAAAGAGAAGTTGTCACCTCTATGCTGCCAAGCATTTTACAGAATTAATAATGTTTCCCACTGCACACCTTCCTTTCGCTGTCAGCCTGACAGGAAAATGCAGCAATCTGCAGAAGAATCTGACACTGGCACTTCATTACATCCTCTGTGGTGACTAAGTCCTGTCAGTGGTCCACAGACAGCTGTGCTAAATCAGGAATGAACTCTGGACCATGTCATCTTGGTCTCAATTTAAACATTTTTGATCCTTGTGACTATGTGCAGGCTGAGCCCACTTGCTGCTTTCAAAAATTTGGGGCTGGTTTCTCGAGCCAATTACACTGTGCAGGGCAATTCTTAGGTCTGTCAAAACAGCTTTTGGCTCTCTGGGACACGAATGTGAATGAGGCTGCCAAAGTGTGTGGAAAATGAAATTCCAGCTGCTGCTGCCAGAAAGTTACAGGAAAATACCATCCACGCAGAAACATGTGCTGCAAATAGGAGTGGCTGGGCCTGCAGCTGGGAGATGTTCTTTTCTCTGGTGGCTCCTGTGAGCTGAGTGTTATCTCTCTGGTACAGACCTGCTGAAACCTCTGCAGCCTCTCCTCCCGCCCTCGTACAGCTCTGGGTCGTAGCTGTCCCAGGAAGTTCCCTTGGGCCCAATGCAGGTTTTGCTCCAGCTGTTGCTGCAGCCTTCCAGTGCCTCCAGCTGTCTTTTCACCACTCCTGGGTTCTTGCAGAAGTCACAGCACTTGTTACAAGCTGGGGTGACATCGCCGAAGTATTTTGCGATGGCAGCATGGCGACAGCTTGGAAAGACAAAGGCAAAATCATTTGGTCATCACTTCTGTTCACAAAAAGTCCACCCTCCAAAGGCAGGGTGTCTTTAGGTAAAGATTKGAGTCTTGTTTTTTCACAGAAAATGTCTATTCCAGCAGGAATCACAGGGTTTAATCCCTGGAGCAGAAGTGGGGCTCTGTTACTGGCACCTTGTTTAAAGTCTCTCTGCCTCCACTTCTCCACATGTGAAAAAACATCAATGTTAATCTCTTCKGCTAAACCCTTTCAGATCTTTGAGATGTGCAAAAGGAACAGTTGATGAAATATGCAGTTAATAATTCTGTGCTGTTGGCTAAATACATTTCATGTCCTATCAGGATAATTGTAGGTAAAGAGGCCCTGTTGATCACTACACCTCAGAGTATACATGTCACACTGAAGAGCATCTAGGTTTATTATTTGGGATTTGAAGGTGAAGAAATACATATTTGAAGACACAGGAATATAAATCAAGTGCCAGAAATAGAGTCCAGACTGAGATCAYAAGGGAGCACCATAGAGATAACACAGCCTGGATCTTGATGGGCGCACACATGCCCCAGATCAGCAGCCAAAGTTTGGGTAGAGCCCTACATGCATGAAAACCAGTYCATTTGCTCACACAGGATTGCACAACCAATTTACCAGGCTTAGCAAACCAGCCATGTGAAGATGATTAGATTCTTCCAGAAATTTTCTAAAGATTTTTGGCAGACATCAGCATTTTTGGGTACATAAAAAAGAGTTTGGTGACAATATGCTTGCTAGAACTGAAGGCAGGAAGTAATTTCTCTTCTAGAACACTCCCTAACTTAAACCAGGGAATACACTGACTTTGCTAAAGAAGAACCAGGCTATTACTTTCCCCCCTTTTTTAAGGAAAGCAGAATTTAGAGGAGCTTTTTAAAACCTAAGTTTTACAGCAGAGGTGGCTGGTAGTGCATTAGTTAAAATGCTGACAATAAATACACAGAAACATTTACTTCATCAAGCATTTAGGGATCAAATCCTGCAGCCAAGTGGGAACAAGAGTTATTTTAGAAAAGAATTGTTTTACTACAGGAAAGAACAAAGTAGAGATTTTTCTTCTCTACCAAGGTGTGCCCTAGTGGGCTTACCAACTTAATCTGCAAAAAGTGGGTCACAGAGGGGAAGAGAGTGAGCACTTCATTTACTCTTACTCTAAACCCTTTAAGGCATGTCAGAACTTGCCAGAGATCCAACAAACACAGTTTTCTTCCTCACTTGTGTGTGTGTGTGTGTGTGTGTGTGTGTGTGTCTGGGGGGAACACAACTGTTGTTACCAAAGCATCCCAAACAAACCCTGCAAGGGGCTGCAGTGGCTGCTGACTCGCTCCTTCCCACGGCCTGGGAGGCTGATCTGGAAGGCAGCAGAGCAGCAGGACAGTGGTTCCTGTCCCCCAGAGTGTGCTGAAGCACCAGGGAGCTGGCAGTGCTCAGGTAAGGGGCTGCAGCAGGGTGACTGCACCATGCAGGGCACCACAGCCTGGAGAGGGATCCGACAAAGCTGYCTTTATATCCCCCTGCAGAGCCACTGACTCACTCTCCTCCTGCACTCAAAGAGCTCCTTTCACACGGAGGGCAAGGGTGGGGGGACCGCCATGGGGGCAACACATTCGATCCCCTTGTCCTGYCTTTCCAAAAGAACTGCTGGTGCTGCCCGGCCTGCCAATGCAACGTGACTATAGAAATGTCAGCGAGCTGCAAGTCAGCTTTTTGTTTCCCCAAAAGAAAACAGGCAGGCATTCTCATTAGTCCATGTCTCTTCCCCTCGCACGCACTGATCTGTATTAGAGTTAACTGAGGCATTCAGGAAGGGACAAGCCCTCTCCTCACTCCCACAGCTCCCCAGGCTTATGCTGGGGAGGGACATCCACACACACCTCTGTCCTTTAGATGCCCCAGGGGAGGGCTTTGGTGGAAGAACAGATCAGCTGTGAGGTCACTGGAATTCAGAGTTCTAGTTTGTAACTCATCAGGCTTGTAAAGCTGAGCCCTTTCCACCCATCCTCCTGTAACTGCCTTTTTCTTCCTGAAGAATTACCCAGATGCGGCCACAGCCCCACTTTAGCCAACGGTGCTCAGGAGTTGGGCCTTAACTGAAATTCAGTTGCAAAACTAAAACTGCGAGCCTATAATTAAGGTCAAAAGGCAAAAAACCAAAGTTACCAATAGAGATGCTGGGGTTAATCATTGGCTTAATGCTTAACACAAGAGGTCCTGAAAAAACACACTTGTTTATGCATTAACAYGTGAGGGGAAAGCTTCCCCAGTCACACCAACACCTGACTAATGCCCACGAGATGGAGATGATTTACATAAACTAATGGTAGTTTGCATTATTATACATGTCCTAAAATTATTCCATCATTTAAATATGCAGCTGTATTATTTGTCTCCCCCCACCCTTCAAAAAGAGTATGTATGAGCTGACCATTGGTCTTTAAAATATCTAAACAAAATCATGATGTCATTTCAGACATCCTCCCCTGATCTGACACTATGGAATGGGATGAAGAGAAAATAATCAGGTTTGCTAACACATTTTTGTCAGTGACAATACATTCCAGGGAAGTGCTAAACTGACCACACAGATGCCTGCACCTGTATTGTTTTGGCAGTTCTTGTTTTTGTACACCATGTAAAACAGGAGCCTTATTCCTGCAAACAGGAGAAAAAGCTGGACAGTCAAAGAAGCAAAGTCACATATCCCAAAAGAAGCTCTGCCTCTCCCAAAAAACAGCAGARAAAAGCATTCCCTTGTATGAGCCAAAGGGCACACAGCCTCATCAGAAATGCTCCCTGAAATTAAAAACTCAGCAAGTCTTGGAGTAATATGAAGAAGTGAAGGTGTTAAAAAAGATAAAAATCTTATGAGGGCAAATTAGTTATGCAGTCATCGAGCGAAAGGCACTTAATGAGCTTTATCAAATAGAAGAGTAAGTCATGAGGTTGATGAGAACTTCTAATTTTGCACCTCTCTGAAGGACTGTATCCTTTCAGCATCATCTGAGCTTCACCTTCTGAGAAAGACAGTGACAGACAGCCGTCCCCAGAACACACGAAGCGAAAAGCTCAGCACTGAGAGCATAAATGACTGGCCAAGGGCACGGAGCAAATTCACCACCCAAGCATCAAATTCAGCAGCCCAGCATTGTCCCTGCTGCCCTGCCCGTGGCAGGTCTCTGTTCCAGGGCTGCACTGTCCTTGTGAGCTCTTGCTCTGCCCCTTCAATGCACACAAGAGAAAAGCTCCTTCCCCAGGGACTTGGAAGGAAACTGGGCTGCGTGAAGAAAAGTTACTTGTTTTAACATTGCCCCAAACTATCGCAGGGAGGKAATCGGTTCAAGTTTCACTCCAGAAAAAGGCGTCATTAAAAGGTAAAGAGGAAACTCCTCTCTCGGAGGAGAGGCACAGAGGAAGCCAGCAACAAGTGCCGGCCCTTGGGCGCCCCGGGGAGCTGGCAGCGGCTCTGGCTCAGCCTGCGGTGGCTCCTCTCCCTCCCTCTTTGGCACACATGTAACACGAAACTTCGCATCTCCACGACAACCAGCAACAAGGRGAAAAAAAAAAAAAAAAGGCAGAGACAACAGCTGGCTGTCAGCAGCGGAGCAGAGAGGAGCCGAGCGAGCAGCGAGCCGCAAGCCAGGATGAGGGGAGAGATGACGTGAAAGTTGAAGAGGACGGAAAGAAAAACAAGAGGAGAAGAAGAGCTTGTGGTTGGGGTAAGGCTGAGCTATCGCTGGGTTCGGGCAAGCGCGGCACCCGGAGCGAGGGGCTGGAGCCCGGGGAGCTCCCCCTGCTCGGACAGCCACGGAGCACAGCTCGGGAGGATCCCTTTGCTTGCCAGGGACACCGAGGAGAGAAGGTGGCAGGAGAAAAGCTTTTAATGGGATTGGGGAGAGCTGCGCCGCAGCCGCYCTGTAACAAAAGGAGGTGCGAGCGGGACTCGGCAACTCCTCTGCCGGTGACAAAGGCTGGCTAATCGCGGTTCTGAGCTCTGACAGARTGTCCTCCGCTGATAAGCCGGTGACCCGATATAGAAATAGTCGCTGTGGACAAGGCAGCTGGGTCCGAGGGTGTGCGTGCCTTTAGCGAGGAGCTGCCAGCACAGGCAGGCGTGTGAAACCCAACGGGTGCCAGCCACGGCTTTTCCCCGCAGCTCCTCCCAGCTGCAGCGAAGTTTTATCCCCCAAATCCTAAAGCAGGGAGCTTAGAAAACAAACCCCGGCCGGGGAACTAGCACACTGTGCAAGTTAAGCATCTGTGTCCAATAGAAATAAATGGAAAGATTTTACACAGTTTCTAATGAGAACATTAAAAAAAAAAAAAAAGAAAGAATTGAGCCAGTGTATGAGGCACAGATRCTGGTTTAGCGTTCAAAGCAGCACGAGAACCCGCTGCTCTGAGAGGCACGTTCATGCACATACACAGYTTATGGTTTACAGTAACCAAACTGTCAAGTTGCAATGCACTGAGAAGGGAAGGGAGAGGAAAAGGATCCCTTAAATACATGAAATGATAYGGCATGGAWTCATTTAGGTTGGGAAAGACATTTCAGGTCATTGAGTCCAAGCGTTGGTTTTACAGGTGTCCCAGAGCCCGTGCTTCCATCTCCATTTCACTGTTKGATATGGGAAGAGGGGCAGGTAAGGGGGACTGGCCATATAAATCCCTATTTTCTGTCATTTGAAGCTGATTTCTGTTTGGAAGCTGTTGCAGGTCCCCTCAGCCTCTTCCGGGAGGCGCATGGGCAGTCAGCTGTTTACAAACAGAAGCAGAAAACTGGATTCTCACAGAAAGAGGTCTTCCCAATCCTACACATGCCTGTAGGGAGGAATGTTAAGGATCAGGTATTTCCACTTCTCTCCATTTCCATTAACGAGGAATGGAGGGCAGGTCTTTCTGACCTAGGTGTTGTACAAACATGGAATTGGAACTGCCTGAGTGAGGAGATGTAGTTAGGACCCACACGCCTTCAGCCTGGCCCTAAGGCTCAAGGGGATGGAGGGAAATTTCCACCCTGCTAATGGAGAGTCTCTGTACGTGGGTTGTTGCAGTTAAGACGGTTTTTTTAAATAAAGCATGTGAAAAAACAAAGTTTAGGGAAACAACAAAAAAAAAGGAAGGAGGGAGGAGTGAGGGGAGAAGGGTAGGGGAGGGAAGGAGGTAGAGAAACAAGCCAAGTTTTCCTGGCCAAAAGAAAATCTTAATGGGTTTGGCTGGGGGCTTGTCCAGCCACAGCCGTGCTGTTCATGTGTGGGGGGAGAGGAGCAGCAATGTGAAACACATGTCTGGATAAAAGCAGCAGGACATGGCTTGTGTTACAGCTGTCACAGYGCACGGGCCTCAGCCCGACTGCAACCAACAGCGGCTGTGGGAGTGGAGGTATAAAATAATCCAAATKTGATAGAGCAGATCCTCTCTGGATGGCCCTGATCACAGAGCCTGCMGTGGGCCAGAATCACCCACTGGACAGCAGAGACTGTGAGGGGCTGGAAGCAGAGAGCAGCACCCACCCCACCCCTCCATGGGCTCTCACTGCTACCCCACGCAGCCACAGCTGACGAGGTCCCAAACAGCTTCTCCCAAGGCAGCAGCTGCTGCAGCCTTTGGGTTTGAGTTCCTACACCCCAGTGGCACCTTTACTAGGATTATACCAGCATATTAAAAAAAAAAAAACCAACTCCAAATGCATGTAATTTATGAGATCTGTGGGTCTGGGATCAGTCAAGGACAGGGCACAGAGGTGGCTGTTAAAGAGTGGAGGAGTTTCCATCACTCTCAGGGGCTCCGGATGTTGGACCTCGAACACCAACTACTGACAGATCTCACTATGTTTGTGAAGTCACTACAGCTCTTTCACAGGCACACAGCTACCTCTCAGTCAGCTTCCTGGGAAATGGATATTTTGCTAATATTAGAATAGACTTTCAGGCTAGATTCAAGCATCACCAACCCTAAAAAAAGTTCTCTAGTAGAAGAGCTACAGGTTTATTTTTAAAATTGACCTTTTCCTTTCATTGGACGGCTCAGTGTTTTGGTTTCCCCACTTAAAAAATTCCTAGTAGTGAGGAATTATCTCGTGGGGTTTTGTGGATGTGTTTGTGGGATGGACTGGAGAAAACCAGGGTGCTCTGCAGAGGTGTAAAGACTCCAGTTCAGTGCCCCAGCAGATACCTCTGCTACTGAAACTGGGAATTCAGTGCCTTTTTATATTAATCTAATATTAGGTTGTAGGGAAGAGAAGACACATTTACAGCGCTGCCTCAAAACCCACCTCCAAATAGTGGGTGGTGCAGATGACAGGGTATTCCAGCCAAAGGGTGACCCAGGCAGGGCAGCTTTATAATCTGAAGGAATGCGTGGCCTCCTGCTCCAAACCAACTGACAAAGTCCAAGCTTTTCTCCCATGGCACTGAGCTACAATTTACCAGTTTGGGTGTGTGCTGTTAAAGGGCTGAATTCTCTTGATACTGGAAACTATTTTCATCTGCTTGGGAATGAATTATAGGTCTGTCTGGCTCTGTGAACTCCTGTTTTAGGAAAAACGAGCCTGTCTGAACTATAGTTAAAGATTCACATGGCTGGTCAACTACAGTCATGGCAGCAAACATTGCATTAACAATGATGAGGGAAAAGCATGCACTGATAATACAACTGCATTTCTATGGCCCTTTTCATCTCAGCAGTACACTGAAAGCTTAGAACAATAAACAATCTAGCAGGAATTATGACATGTTGGGCCGAAATGCATGCAAACTGTAGGCACACCTAGCAACCCAGCATTGTTTCAGAGCAGGAAGCACTGCAGGCCTTATCCATATAAAATCAGAGGGACATTTCAGGAACCAAGAACAAAGCTGGTACGTTTTGAAACTGGCCAAGCCTTCACGTTCTTTAGAAAGTGGCCAAGTACAGTCAGAGCTTATTTTAGAGTTTTAGATCAGAATAAAAAGCATCCCTCCCCCTTCAGCTGCCCAGCACCTTCCTTCCATGAGGTTGGTCTTGCCTTCTAAGATTTCCTACCAAATAAGCCCCCACAATCCATACAGGCTTCCCATCCCTGTACAGATCCRATTTCAACCACCTTATTGGACTTGGCTGAGTAAAAACAACGCATTTGCTCCTWCACAGCCATAGTCTTAGGAAAAAGACAAGATTGCAATGAAACATGGCCCTGGCATTCTGCTTGATGGGCACATCAGGAAGGTTCTACTTTGCAAGGTCCGTGGAGCACTCTTGCTTTGGGCAATAGGCAGCAGAGGAGATCTAGCTCACCTTCACTGGGACTGGCTGCATTAGGACTAGAGGCACTGGCAGCTSCTTGTTCCCCAAAAAATTCCCCCCTCCAAAGCTTTATCTCCATCTTTAGGTTATTACAGCAACAAACCCATGCAAGCATAGCAAAACCAATGGATCAGGACCACGGCACAGGCATTAYTACCCTGTGGAGCACTGCTGGGTTAGGAGCAAATAAGAATGGAAACCACCCTTTCACCTACATCCATCCTAAATGGGCTCAGGGAACAAAGTGTAACAGGCAGTGAGCAAAGCAACAGCCAGCTGTTTGTAACTGCAACAAACCCAGGGACTTGGTGCCTTTCTATCTAAAGATTCCCAAGCACATTGGAAACTTGGACACACAACAATTAACAAACAGAGCTCTGATGTGGTTCCRTGTTCCGCTGTCTTGCAGAGATGAAGTCACCCAACAGTGGGATGTGATGACTTATCCAAAGTTAYACAACTGGGGAGCATCACTGGCAGGCCAGGGGGACTGCCTGTGTTTACTAACTTCCAGTCCTGGGGCTAAACCACAAACTTAATTTCATGCCTTTTGCACTAAAAAAGGCTGCTCAAATACCCCCAGGGTTATGAGTAAACAAGTGTCTCATTCTCAGCAGTAAATTTCAGCTCACCCACTCCCTGCAGTTCACCTTTGGATGAAGCTGTGTCCACACACAGATCAGGACAGACCAAAAAACCCTGTTCAATGCACAGCAATTCCAAAAGGCTCACAGCAGCCTGAGTGGCTTCAGGCAGACAGAGGGATGTCAGATCCCACTGTACATGGTCATCCCAAAGCTCTTTTCCTTGGAAAAAGAAACCTTCACATGCAGCCAGTTCACAGCAAAAAGGAACCTTGATGGAGGCTTTCCTCTTGAATGTCTAGATGGAGGCTTTTAAATGGCTTTATTCTCCAAAGGGCTGAGCAGCCAACTTCTTTGAGTGCTTCAGTATGGCWTGAGTCCATTAAAACAACTCAGAAAGATAATTTCAGTGCTATTATAGCAATTTTCACAGCTTTCTTCACTGGGCACAGCAAGATGAATCTGCATTAGTGCTTTCTGGGAATCCAAATCTCTCTAAGTCCTAAACACAGGACATGCACTTTGGTTTTACAGGGTCTTGTAACCCTTGCAGCTGAGCAGCATGCCTGCAGTTGTTTGCCATTCCCCTGCATCATTTCTGTGCTCTGTCCTTTCAACCAAGGCTAACAACTCATGGCACATGGCAGAACGGGCCTTTTTTTCCATCAAAACCAAATAAATCCAAATTAAATTATTTGTTTTATTTCCCTCCCCTTCTGGGTCTTGTAACACAGAGGAGGGCAGGAAGGTTTGATGATCTAGTCCCACTGGCAACACTGATTAGATGAGTTATTTCTTGAGTCAAAACCATGAATTTCAGGATTCCACCCATCCCAGCAGGATGGCACAAACTCCCTGTCACAAGACATTGTGTTCACTTTCTTTTCTATGTGAGTTTCTTAACTTGTCTCTCCTCATCTGATTTTCACTTCACATGAGCTCTAGCTACAGCTGTGGAGCAGCATTTCCTTGGCATCAGTCTGACAATCTGTTATGATGACCACATTACACTGTGGCCATTCAGGATTTTTTCCACAATGTGGATGAGTTCCATCAGCTTTGCTGCCCTACAACCATCTTTCCTCTGCTCTGGAGGGTTCTTATCCTCAGCGGGTGAAGTTTTGAGGAAGAACAATAATGAGCAAAGAGAAATTCTCAATTRAGAAAAACACTGGTAGACAATTATGTTTGCTGCAAAGCCCTGAGAATCTTTGAGGTACAAACTAGGGTGGCTCTTCCAAGCTCTAAAACAGCACTCCAGTGCTAGAAAGTGAACTGTCAGTTAATATCTACAATCTTGAGTTTCAAATCTCTCAAGAACTGCCTGTTTTAATAATAATCATCATCACAGTTTCTGCTTCAACTGAATATCCTGCACCACCTGGCCTTTACTACTGTCAGTGACTGAAGCTTATTTGAACCCAATATAATAAACCAAAAGGAATTCAATCTCACAGCTCCACTCTGTTATGGTAATTAATGTCATCACCTTTGTGCTGTACATGAGGCAGATGCATAAGACAACTGGTTTAAGTCACACAGCACCTTACCCTTGTGCTAATCTCACARTCTTGTGTAAAATCTTGGTTCCATTGAAATCAGCTGGGTCACATYAAAACTCATCCTGAACAAAGGCTTTACATCATAGGTAGAATGGAACGTACCGAAATTCATGAATGTAACTGGCTTTCTGGGGGGAGCTTTACTTTTTCCTTTAAGAATTATTTTATTCTTCACCCTTTTGCCTTGCTGCAGAAGTAGAAATCCTAAAGCAGAGAGCCCTTGGAAGCAGCAGAAAGTGCATGGCAGAAAAACATATGCTTCCTCACGGGAAGGTTGGAGACTGCACCACCACCATCAAACTTTGTCCCTGATGTAGTTCAGACCAAGGTAAACAAGCAACATTCCTTGCAAGTTTTAGAATAAAAACTCCTTCACTGAGCTCCAGATCAGGTACCTTGGGCAGAGGAACGTCCAGTACAGAGGCAGGCTTTATAATTTCAGACTGAGGATTTTGCTAATCCACATGGAGTTCTACAATCCTGATCAGTAATTTTACATTGGATAACCAAACTTCACAAGCCTGGCTTTGATACCTGTTGCTTCTGGTGCAGCCCAAAGCATGACTTGGAAATTTACAGCAAATTCCTTATGATGAGAGCTTCTGGATAGGCAGAAACWTCTCCAAAGGGAGCAAACATTTTCACAAGGTTAGAGCCAGAAATTTTATTTTTTGAATTTTTTTCTTCTAGAGACAAGAACAGAAAACACAGATCACTTCACCTCTCCCTCCTCCACCATCTCTTGGAATGGAAACAAAATTGAAAACCTGCTGACACAGAATCTCGCAGGACTAAGGATAAAGCAGCCGTTTCTGGAGCAGCTCACTTGGGGTAGGCAATCATCTGGAAAGAAGTATTTAACCCTAGCCTCAAAAGTGACCTTTTCAGGTCAAAACACCACAGCTCTGCCTCCTTGCTAAGTTGCACAGAGATCTCTCCGTAGATGCAGATTTTCCATCCACCCCCATTTCTAAGAAACCAGCTGGTTCCGATTTTTATTCCTTAGCTTGGATTTAAAAGAACAAAGAAAACCCCTTTTGAATTGCATAAACATACAAAACTAATTTAACTTGGCACTGTAGTATTTAAGCCCAGCATGCAAAGAAACAGCCAAGGTCTCTCTGTCCTCAGTGTGTTTAGAAAAACTGAACTCCAAGCATCCATTTGTTTGAGTAACCAAGCCAGATGTGCAATAAGGAACTAGCTGGTTTGTTCTGGAAGTGCWGTCTTGGTCACTTGGCTTTGTGTTATCACCAAGATCAGGGTATTAAATTGCAATGTTCAAGTCCTAAACTCCAGTGTTGACTATTACAACACACACAAACCAGTACATTTTGCTACAATATTGAAATAAGAATTATAAATCTATTCAAGTGCTGACCTGTCCAAACACTTGTTTTAGGTGAAACTATGGATGTTTATCAACAATATCTAATTCCARTTCTTGACTGAAGCAAAATTTGAACATTCATAGGTCTAAGACCAGCTAGTTTGTTGCAATGCTTCCCAAAATCATGCTCATGGGGTAAATTGTGGCAAAACTGAGTCACTTAACTTTGACTAGACAAGTAATATTTCCAGTAATAATAGCTCCTGATGTCAATTCTGAAAATAAGGAAGGTCCAAGATTACTGAGAAGGGCAGTAGGGATTAGCTCCACAAGGGAGGTATCTCCCTGACAGATCCAAGGGCTTTTGCTTTGCTAATCATCAGCAGTGATGGGTGGAATCCACTGTTCATATATTGCTTTGTGGCTCAAAAGAAAAAAAACAATTTACATTTAGCTTACTTTATAAATTTGCATTYATCTGCAAATGATGCAAAAGATGGAACTTGAAAAGCATCCAGCTGTTCCCAGTGAAGGCAGACTTTAACTTTTAGTATCACATACAATAAATCTGGTTGAGAAGACATTATTAATGGTATTGTACTGAAGAGTTGAAATAAATGCCTTTGTTTTTGAAGGGGGTTCTATAGCTCAAAGTGCAAGAAGCCTTCAAGGGAATCTCTTTTGTAAGAAACAACTGAAGTCTTGGAGTTCAGTGCAGTGGAGTTGAGCATTTGGAATTCAAGTTGGGTTAGAATTGCATTTGTTTCTGGAAGGACAAGTTAGCACAGCTGGGAAAAAAAATTACTTCGTGTGAAAGCCAAGGGCAGGCACTGTCCAGTCTAACCCTGTGCCTTCTGAAATCAGTGTCCTTGTAGGAGAAACTGTTTGGGCTTTGTTTAACAATGCAGTTGACAAAAACACCCTCGAAGCTGGATTTTGAAATTAAAACAGTGCCAGAACACGTAGACAATTAATAGTYCTCCACCTTAGCTACTGGGAGCAAGGACTGAGACCAGATAAACTTGTTTTCCTTGTGATCACCAGCTATATAAAAAGGCTGGCAGCTCCCTAGCRTTAGTCAGTGAAAAGGTTTATTCTCTATTTGGTTCTCCTACAGCATAAAGCCTGGAGAGGTTGTGACAGAATGTCTTCTGAAGGCTTTCTGAAGGAAATCCAAGTCATTGGTGAGAAGTTTCTCCTYAAGCTCCAGAAACTGCCCAAGGCTGAGCCAGTGGAGATTGTCTGCTTTTCTGTGGTTCTTCTGTTTATTGGTGAGTTTGTGGGTGGAGGCCAAGGGGTGTCAGAATTTCCTCTTTTACAGGGGCAGCTTTCTTCATAGTCTTTGTTGGTGGGCTGGTGGTGTTGGCTGTTGTTTTCCAGGCTGTGCTCTGAGGCCCAGGTTAATTTCTAGGTAATTTTTAACATTCGGGATGTATCTCTACATGGATGCAGAGCATGACAGGCAACAGCACAGCTTTCCCCAAAGCTGTCATATTGAACATTAATTAAATCAGTAATATTTTAACCAACCCGGAGCTGCTGTGATGTTTTGATGCATAGGAGATAGTTTATGATAAATGGTATTACGGCATCTCCCTGCCACWAAAGACACTTAAGAGAGACTCTGAGAGTCATCCTTGTGCTTGGCTCAGGGATGGAAGCCAATATGATTCAGATGAGCCTATTTATTCTCCTCTGATAATGGCAGGATCCCTCCTGCTGCTCTGTGTGGGGATGGCAWGGAAGAATAACAGAGAACTGATGGATCAAGGGGATGGAAGTTTGTTTATACAATGGGAAAGCATGCAGGAAGGAAGGAAGGCCCTGCTCCTCAAAGATGGGGTTTGCTCCYGGCCGAAAGGAAGGGTGTGGATCCAGCTGGACACTCCTCCCCAGGCTGGAATTCACAAAGTCACACCTGCTGCTTTATTTGGTTCATCCCTACAGCTGGTTCACCACAGGTCAGGTTACCTGGCAGCYCAGGTCCAGGCTTAAAGCAACACATGCACACACAGAGGCATGTTCACTCTCTTACATGCTTTGCAGGATTAAACATGTCATCATTTTCTACTCCAGATAAACTAACACATCCCTGCCAACAACAGCCATCCTGGCTAGAGCAGTGAACAGTAAGTTAGCCCACTGCTTTGTGAAACAAAACTCTGTATTTGAATTTGAATTAAGATATTTGAATATCTTATTTTTTCTAGCCAAATACAGAAGAATAAAGCCAACTCAGTCATGAGTATCTATCCTTAAAGGGTATGCTGCACTCTTCAGAAATACAACTGCCAGCTTAAGTAACCAAACTCCCTCAAGCTACTTTGGGGAGAGTTGGATTTTCATCCTTTCCAGGTGCATARCTCTGCTTAGGTACTGCATGTCAGTTCCCAAACAATAGCCCATTAGCTGGGTAAAGAAATCCTCACATGGTTTGGTATTTAAGCTCTTAAGGTCTTGAAATGCCTGGTAATGATTGTCCAGATTAAATGGAAAACCAATACAAATGAGCASGAATTTAGGAGGAGGAAGGTGGGGATATACAGAAAAAAAAAAAAAAACTTCTCAAGAAACCAGGTTTTGCTCGTTTTGCTGCTCACCAAACTTGGAAGAGACACAGGGTTACTCTGCAGGGATTGCTCCTATGCTGTGAAGCAATATTGTTTGTTCCTCTTTGCAGCTACTGTGCTGGTGCTCACCATCATTGCCTGCAGTTGCTGCTGCTACAGCTGCTGTGGCTGCGATGGACACCCTGACCCCAGGCACAGGAAGAGCCAAGTCCGCCCAGCTTCCCACTGATGAAGTGACACAGCCTGCTATCAAGGACATGCATGGACATCGTGATTCAGTGCCATGGGAATGACTTTCCACACTAGCTCACTGAAAATGGCAATAACAATATTAATTAACATGACTCAGAGGACCAGAAATCACAGCGTGGAATTCCTTCTCTCTGTGACAGCCACCACAGTGACCCGAAAGGTAAAGCTCCTTTACCATCACTGTCTCCCTCTTCTGGGGGTGGGATGGGATGGGAGGGCATGGACACAGGTTGCTGAGGAAAGACACAGCTTTCCCAAAGTCAGCCCTGCAGCTGGGCCAGCTGAGGATCCCCTCAGATCCACAGAGCCACAGATCAAAGCAGAGGACACGGCCACAGGCCAGGCACTGCCTGCTCTCCTCACCAGTGGCTAATCCAGAATAATGGTGCTGGCCATTTGCAAAACCCACCGACACCACTGGGAGGTCCAGATACTCAGGGCATCGTGGATCAAGGCCAAAGCTGCTGCAGGAGACAYGTTTAGCTGAGATACCTGCTGAAAGCCACAAACAGTGGACCTTTTGATCCAGATGTGGCAGCTGAGGCTCTGGGTACAGCTGGTCACAACTGCCCCGGCGTCATTTCATTGGAGATACAATGATGGGAAATTGCCAAAGAAAAAACTGTATCATGAGGAATACTCTCTGTAAACACGAAGATGAAGGCAAAAAGGAAAAACTCACCAACCCTATGGCTTATTTTGATCATTCTCTGCTCAATATGCTCCCTCTCCACCCCCTGTGGTTCTACTCTTCTGCTCATTGCAGATGCATGGTTCTTGCAGAGCACAGGAGCTCCTGGAGGTGAACAAATCCCTACCCTTACTTGAGGGATCTGTGTGCCTGGCTCCCTGCACTGTGTGCAGTTTATTTTAGTGGACATGAACATGATGCCAGGACTGTGTTTATGAGCATGCACAGAGGCATTTCAGGGGAGCGACACATGATGGGAGCCATCACGCCAGGGTATGTGTGCAGCAGCTGACAGCAGGCACGGTGGCAGAGCAGAGCCAAGAATGGGCTGTTGGGCTGGAGTTAACAAGTGCAAATAAATCCCTTTTCCATGCTGCAGCCACTGTGTATGTTTGGTTTACACTCCAGTGAACTTCCGAAAAGGATTTATGGACGTACAAGGCTGTAGCACAGGCTGTGCCACTTTCACAACTGGGACAGCACAACAAGGCCACAATTCTGCACTAAACTCTGAACCAGTGGTGTTTCAGCCCCAAATATGAGACCAACCACCTTCATGAGAATCTGTATGGAAAAGTCATCTTCTGCCTCTGTATCCCAACTAAGTGCAGAGGAGCCAAAGGGATTTCACATGAATGTACCAAAACAAACATTCAGGAGAATAAAATCATCACGTTTCAACAGTGGGCTTTAAAATACTCTTTACACTTCAGAAGGTACAGAAAAATATGAAAACACTGTAAAGAAATGTATTTTCTCTGTTGCCTGCACCTGTATTAGTAAAGGTACATTACAGCTTCTTATGTATTTAATGCACTTTATTTTTTGTCAACAAACCAAATCTAGATTTGGCATTTTTGTACTGCTGCACATTGGAATATATCTGCAGCCAGAAACATAGTGAASAGCCTAAGAATGATAAGAAAAATAAAATTCCTCAAACTACCAGTGTTGATTTTAAATTAATAAAAAGAAAAAAACTTTCCAGTAGAAAATGAGGATGTTCCTTAGAAAACAAATATTTGAGCCCCAACTTGACAACTGCCAACAGCAGACTGCACTAGCACGAGCTACTGCATGCACAATTACACTGAGATTAACAAAGTGCTGGCTTTTATTAGGCTATCCTCAAGCTTTCACTGCCAACCAATATGTTTAGGAGGAAACAACCTCAAGCACAGCATCAATTTAAACATTCAGAGATGCATCACATCAWCCTCCTGTCAGATAAGTCTTTGCTCATTTCAGTCACAAACAAGTGGCAAAGTGACATCGGGAGCCTCAGAAACTCTTTTGCATGAGACAGACTCAACAGATGTTTTTCCATCTAGATTAAGTCACGAGACCTGGGGAAGAACAGAGCTCACTTTCTTTCCAGGCTTGTGCTAGACAGTGCCAGCTCCAGACATGAACAGCATCCCATTGAGGGCTGTTCCAGCAGCACGGAGCCAGCCTGTGCTAAGCCAGGGGGAAGCTTGGCAGGCTGGACACACACCAAGAGCTGACAGGTTGCTGTCACTGGGAACAAGCTGCCAGACCTTATCTCAACAGGAAAAGCTAYAAATGCATGTTTTCCAGTGGTGGTACAAGCTAAACCACTGACAGATACYAGGCAGAGGGACAAGAGAAATGGCTCCTGTCTTATCTYGGCCACTGYGAGTTCCTGAATTAGAAACAGAATAAACATGGCACTGYTAAAGAAAGGGAAGGAGAGAAAAATAAGCAATCCTCTAAAGGATTCAGGTGGCTTTCCTGAGCAGAGGAGCGACCACTGTATAGAGGGGGCCAATTTCTACACACTTGACTGGACCTCACAGGTCTAATGTTCTGCTTTGGGTTATTTTGTACCATTGCACTCAGCTGGACTATTCCTACAGCTGGGATTCAGATATGTTTGCCTGATCTGCTGCTTCCTTACACGCATTCAGGGTAGTCTGAAACATGCCCACCAAGTCCCCAGCTTCCTGCAGCTCTTCAGTTCTGCTGACTACAAACCTGCTGGTCCCTGTGTCCCTGCTCAGCACTCACACAACCTTTCTGTTTTGGGCTTCAATCATAACTCAAATATAGGGACACATAGTGTGCACTAGTGAGGATGAATCCTCTTGTTTCAGCCTGCAGAGGGAGAGTCAGAAAAGCACAGAATAAGGCAAGGCTGCTTCAAGCACAGCAACTGCCATACATGCTGTGAAAGCCTAGAARGAACTGCACAGGAATACCGTTATTTCAGTCGTGGTGATAAAAGTGTTGAAATAGTTTCTTTCCCCAAGGAACCTCAAAGAGCCAGTAAGGCAAGCCCCTCCAGCAGAAGTGGTTGAAGTTCTACTGATGACTTAGTGGAACAGCTTCTGTTCTGTAATGTTATCCCCCTGGTTTCAAAGTGACTTGCTTGGCTTGTGAAAGATCAGTTTCCTATTACACACACACAGCCTCACACACCACACTCCTCCTTCTCTCCTCCTTCCTCTCTCCAGCACCATCCCTCTGSTCTTCTCCACTCAGGAAAGTGAATTTTATTGCTGGTCACAGCAGTGCAATGCTCTGGAATAGGTTTATTTGGACTGCAGGGCAGTCCTGTTCACTGTCTCACTTTAGGAAGGGCAGTTTCCCATTGGAGCTTGCAATACAGATCCAGTCAGGATCCACAAAACACAGCCCTCTTCTCTCCACTGCAGCCTGCCCCAGACAGASGACAGAGTGGGCCTTCACAAGCACTGCAACAGGTGTGGAAGTGGATAAAGCCATGGAGAAGAAGAAATGTGTGAGGAACAGCTGAATAGGGACTTTTTAGTTAGGCCAAGACCTTTGATTTGACTATATTAGCCACACCTTTACAGCAATATCAGCTGTTAATCATTTACTGCAGCCCCAACAGGTAACTTCCAGGCTACCTCTACGAGTCTCCAAGAACAGCAAGGGGCCCCTTACCACAGGCCAAGCTCTCTTGGAGGGGGTGAAGAGGAGGCAACAGAGGAAACACCTACTGGAAACACAACAGCTTCAGGTATTTATAAAAAGTCTTACAGCTCTCCTATTCTGGGAGGTGAACTGCAGCTAGGAAAAGAGACAGGAACTTCCTGGGGTGTGCAGTCCCACAGGGTTTCTGCCTTGGGTCTATGGAACTCGTATCTAGGCTGCCTCCTTTTGAAGGCAAAGGAATCCAGAACAGCTTTGATGTCCCACGTGCCTGCTGGTTAAAGACTGAGCACAGTGATCTGCCATCTACCCAGAAAACAAACCGTGAACTGAATATAACTGACTGCTGAGAAAGAAAAAACTTCAGCAAGTGTGAGCTTGAGCTTCCAGTCAAATCCAACCCGCTGAGGATGAAACACTTTACAGGACTAATCCTTTTTCTTAGAGTATTCAGGATACAGACAGAAGAGGCAGCAAGTCAAATTTTCAAAAATAACCAAGATATCTTCCTGTATTACATCTTCATAGTCCCATTTGCAAGAAAGTGTGAGAAATATTCCATTCTTTCCCTTGAGAAGCAAGGAAGCTTTAGTAAAACCACAAGATGCTCACAAAGAGATGCTGGATGTTCTTTAGAAAGCTGACAGCCAAATCATTATTCAAAGTATCAGTGAAGCCACTGAGATCCCAGTTTAAATTATTACTGGACTTCCTCGTGGGAGGAAGAATTATGCTTCTATTGCAGAGTAACAGAAACCATTACTAAAGCAAACTCCATTAGCAGGACACCCTTTTAAACATAATTGGACTATTCTAAGCCCTATGGAAGAAACAAGTTTTACATGATCTTTGCTTATTGTTGGTGGGGTTTTGTGCTTGTTTTTAAGTAAGTGTTCATTTAATCTCCATTGTGTTCTCAGAGTTTARGTCCCCAACTCTCCCTTTTAGAGATCTTTCCAATGGTATCAAGGAGTTTCTGCCACTGAACACTTGTCTCATGTACAGGCTGTACAGCTGACAAACAGTTCATATTGAACATGCTGAAGAGACACTATATYATTTAAAATATTTATAAGGTATTATTAAAATAAATCTCAACTAAAGAGGAAGCTTCTCCTCTTTATATTTCTATAGATCTGACTGTGAAATATGCCTCAGCTGCATTTCTTCTGGTTTTGTGTGATGGGTGACTCTTCTTTTGGAGGGGGATGCACACAGGCACAGATACTTTGCTGGTTTTGGGGCAGTGGCTGAGGGCATGGAGAGGACACACCAACACCTGACCCTGTTGTTGTCTGCCCCCAGCAGGGTGGAAGCCAGCATGTCACCAGAGCAAGAGGCATCCTCAGTTCTGGAAGAACTAAAGAGACTGATTACAGCAAGTGACTGGGCTCTTGGAGGGCTGGTGGTGATTGGCRTCTTCTGTCTTGTTTTTATTGCTCTCATTTTATTTGCTGCTATCTTTGGGTGCTGCTCATCTCCAAGGCACACACGGCGTGGCTCATAGACAGCAAAGTGGGGACACAGAACRTGGTACAGCTGAGCAAGAACCTGCCATGGTACAACCTGATTGTGCTGTTCACAGAAAGCTCTCTCATCTCCTCTCCCTGAGTGGTTATTTCACCACATGCAACTTTCCTGCATCAAGAGCAATGTCCCAGTGCCAGCAAGTTGTTCTGCAGGTCAYAAAAAACTCAACATACAAGGCTGTCTGGATTCAGGGACATTTGCCAATACCAAAGTCTCTGCCTGATTTTCACCTTTCAAGCTAAACCACCAATCACAGGTGGCAAATGGTCAGCCACCACCTAAAACTGATAAAAATGTCTTCTGCTGCTGCAGCTACATGAGTTGTGATTTTTTCACCTTGCAAAAGAGCAATAAGAAACTCTGACCACTGAAAGCTTTGTCTGAACCCATTCTCTAAAAGCAGAGAATACCATTGTGCTCCTGTCATGCTCAGACAATAGCCTAAATATACTATACAAAAACTTGCTACCAGTACACAGTGTGCCTTTATTTGTTCTTATTTATAACCTTGCAAGGTCAGAGTTTCAGGTTTGCTTTCACTGTTTGGACAGTGAGTAGAACTCTATTGATTCAATATGTAAAACAGAAATGCAACGTGGCTTTTCTTTCCATATGCCCTCAGTCTCCTGTAGAGTTATAAACAGGAAAACGAATCAAAGGTGCTGCAATATGTGATTCTGGATGCACATCCCAAGTTGTAGGAAAAATGTACCMAGCTGAGTCAAGGATGAAAAAATCTGGGAGATGTGATTTCTAATTATGTCACTGATACTCCCTTACTCAGATTTTTACTTTGAGGGTGGTGAGACACTGGCACAGATTGCCCAGAGAAGTTAAGGGATGCCCCATCCCTGGAAGGCCAGGTTGGATGGGGCTTGGAGCAGCCTGGTCTAGGGGAAGGCTGTCAGTCCCCCATAGCAGGGGGCTGACCTAGGTAGTCTTTAAGGTCTGTCTGAACCCAAATCATTCTATTATTATACAAAACCCAGCCACARCAGCCATCTGTGAGTTGGGAACATGCCCCAGAAGGTGCAGAGCTGCTCAGACAAATGCCTCAAAWTCTCAGAGCAAGAAGCCTCCCAGCAGCTACTTCCCAGCATCACCTTGACTTTAGGCAAAGAAGTGCCCCAGGCTCAGCTTTGCACCACACTTCAGTACTAGCAAGACTATCCCATAACCCTAGGTTTTGTTTACCAAATGTGACTACCAGGAGAGAACACACTCACAAAGGCACCAGAAATCAAGCACTATGTTACATTCATACTGGAAAAGCTGTCCTAGACCCAGGTGTGAAAAATGAAACAAAGTGAAGAACTTGTAAGCAAGACACACAAAGAACCATTTGCAGTTAGTGTACACATACTGCTCTCTTCCTGGCAAAATTATAACTTTGATGTTTTATCCAGCACAGAACAGCAATTAGTAAAATTACAGCATGCAAGGCATGAACTAAACCTGAACATGGCATGTTGTGGTTGCTAGTCTGCATTTAGATGGGACACATCCCTAATTTAAGCCTGTTTCTGAAATATTCTAAGCACCACCAGCTCCTTCTAAGGTCAATGAGAATCACAGACGCTTTGCAGAGTGCAGACACTGAGATTTACAGAAACATTAAATCTAAATGCTTGCATCCCATGGCTTTCTGTTTGTTCCCTTAGGAGGGAGGTGATGTAGAGAAGGAGGAGACTCAAAACAAGAGCAAATGCAACTAAGTCAACCCATCATCAAAGACTGAATATTGTAAAATACATCACCAGAGAATTACACATCCCCCAATCACATGGTCAGACTCCAARACCAACATCTCAGTTAACTCAGAGGTGGAAGTGATGAGAGATTTCCCAGGGACATATTCTCAGGATCTCAGCCATAACAGTTTCCTGGCAGGAACAAGGCATGTTTTCCCCAACATTAACAGTGATGTTTGAAAGAAGTGCACTCACCCCAGCTCCTCGCAGAAGTGCACAAKGGCATCAAAAGCTGTCATCATGGCTTTGTCAGAGTCTTTTAAGGTGCCTTTTTTTTCCTGAAAGTAGATGGGGACAGGAACTATAGTCTTCAATTTAAATACACACAGAATAGAGTAGCTCTAGCAATGACCAACTCCAACYCTTCTGAGCAATATTGGCAAACAGGAACAAACACCTCCCTCCCTCTGCTCCAACTTCTGCTCACCATATAGAGCAGAATGGGCCTCCATACACAGTTGGCTCTAGCAGCCTTCTCCCTTCCTTCTGCTATCCCTTGAAACAGGGCTCCAGAAAGTTCTAGACCCAGAAAATCTCATTTCACCTCATAATCAGAGGTTACTGCAGGCAAACCAGGCCAGAGCCAAGGCAGTGTACCCAGGCAGGTGGGTGCTGTTCTGCAGCTCTCACCTGGATGTTAGAGAGCTCCTTTTTGATCAGGAAGCTGACTTGATCCCGGTCATTCCTTGAGTAATAAAGGCGGCAGAAGGATGGTTTTCCATCTCTCCCAGCTCTGCCAGACTCTTGGTAATATCCAGCCATTGAYTTGGCAATATTCCAGTGGGCAACAAATCTGCATGGGGTAAAACAGGAAACATGAGGCTGCAGGTTCCTCAGAGCACCACACACACCAGTGTGGTGTCTGTGGGCATCAACAGCAAAAAACAGGGCAGCAAAACACAAAAGAGGATTGAGCACAGCAAGGGGTTTTGCACACTGAAGTTTAACTCCTCCTAATACACAAGACCTGTAAAGTAGCAGAGCTGTAAGGAAACAAATGCACCYGGACAGCATGTGAGCAGGATGTCACTCCAAATGGATAGAGCACATGAATATCCCAAATGTGCATGCAATTGTGCAGCTATGAAGAGTGAGAATAAGGACATTGAATTAAGAAGTTTGGGAGATTTTCCATAAAATACAGCATTAATTAAAAAACCCCAACATATTTATGACAACTGCACCATTGCAAAACACATTTTTAAATACTTAGTTTTAAAAAGACACTTCTTTGCCAAAATCTCCATGGGAAACTCCACCTCACTGTGCTCACTTGCAGGTGAAGGCAAATAAGACTACAGAATCATTACTAAATTTTATGTAATCTCTGAAGGAAGGTTTACAACACAGCACTGCAAGACTGCTTTAGACCTGCTTGTACCTGACTATTCAGCAATTCAGCTTATACCTGTTTTGAGAGTATTTGACAGCATGGTAATGCTGCCAATGTTTTTAAGTCTGCCTCAAAGCCAGCATGACCCAAGGGCAGGCATGATGCATATGGGTGTAGCTAAAGATTAAATGACAAAAGCGAGCAAACATGTTTCTTCAAACACAAATAGCCCAAAAATGGGCCAAGCAGGAAGCATCAGGGCCCTGCACATTAAAACCCCATCAGGAAGTTTGCTGAATAAATTGATAAATAATTTTAAGCAGAACTGAA